ACCACCCCCCCCCCCCCCCCCCATCCCCAAACAAAAAAGAGAAAGTGAAAATGAAATGAACCTAACAAAGTTAATTATAGATACATATTACATAGAGAATAACTGTCCTGGGAATTTTTTTTCTTTGTTTGGGAAATTGCTTGTTAGATTAGAATACTTATTCACTTGCTTTTTTTTTTGGGGGGAAAAACATAAAAATAAAGAGCATTTTAAAGTATTCTTTCTCTTATGTTGCTATCAATTATTTTTGAAATAATCTTTGCTTTTGTGATTCTTTTTTTACTATCATTATTTGCACCTAATTGTTCTTTCTACTATTTGATTAATAGGGTTCTTGATTCTTGACCCAAATGCAAGTTGTTTTTCACACCTTTACATAGGGACGGAGTTAGAGGGACGAAAGGGTTCATCTGAACCTCCTATAGTTAATTTTTTTGATATTGTATTTATTTTCATACATGCGAACGAGAAATCTCTTGTAGGCAGTTAGCATATAGTTGAAATGGGTAATTCCTCTATCATTCTTTAAAATTTAAATACCAAGTCTTTTAAGTCTATATCAGGGTTTGAACTCGTGATATATGAGTAATTTACACGTCATATGTTGTGCTCTCACCATTAAATCAAAAGCTAAGAGTAATTTCTGAATTGTACATACTATTATGTGTTACAACCAAAAGAGATTCTTGAAAGAACAGGATGTAAATGTTGAGCGTGCAAATAAAATCTCACATTAATAATAGAAAGTTACCTCGTGGACTTGATTCGTATTGAAAAATATCACATCACGTTAACAGTATTATCGATTATTTTATCTCAATAATTGATCGCAAAGCTAATGAATCAACTAGACGGGTGTCAAATTGACGGAATGATAGCGTGGGGCCTGACTTATTGTCATTGCTTGTCTACGAACCAAATTACTATCTATACCCCTAGCTCGGAGATACATACACACCCACAAGTGAGGTCGGGAAGGATAGATGTACACAGACCTTACCCCTATCTTTCTGGGGTAGAGATGTTGTTTCCGATAAACCCTCGACTCAAAAAGAAAAGCTTTCGAAGCAGGGTTGCAAGAAAAAAAAATGATAGCAAGATAACAAAGAAAATAGCCAAATGCAAGTAGAAGTGGTTCATGTTTCATAGGAAAACAACACACTCAAACGGCTAGCAACAATTTATGCACTTGCACAAGGATAGCCAATATGCATTCTATGTTTGCTCGGACTCTCCAAGAATGTCGATGAACTCGTTGCAAATCCTTCAAAAATACATTAGTTTTGAATAATATGAACATCCACGGACATTTTTGGAAAGTCCAAGCAACATAGTCTGCCTTACCAGCTCAAAGGAAGCACTACAAAGGAGAAGGTTCGGCTAATTTTCGTAACGAAAAGAAAGCTAAAACAGAACTAGTTCCAAATAACTAACAAGCAGATTCAGATATGGCCAAGAACATAGGAGAAACCTTTCAAATGTAAGAACATAAGTTATCATCACTTGTATACAGTTTCAAGGCAAAACTCCAGTTTTTTCGAGTTCCGAGCATATTGCTGAAAGTGATTGATATACTTCATAAAACCATAAGCATGAAAACATGGAGGGGGAACAAAAATAGAGGTCACTTTACAGAAGCTAGGCCATTTTAAGATGTCTTACCAATTCAGCTAGGTTATAACTCGAAAGAATAAAAGAAAGTTTTCAGCATATAATCAGTGACGCGTAAAGGAGGATAGCTAAATCCTAGAATTGGCAAAAGAAGAGAGAAGTCATACTGCCTTAGCTGTATTGTGTTCTTCCCCAAGTGTTGCCAGCCTTCGCTTAGCTACCTTGGACCTGTAACACCAAACTTCAAATGCCTCGGTGAGGTCTGGATATCGAATCTGTTGATTTTCCAACCACTCTGTTAAAATGTCTGTCTGATCAACTGACGACAATGTAAGTATAATAGCAACAAATGCTGATTCCAAAGATTGCCAGATCTCACTATCGAATTTTAGTGTGAGATCTTCCTCAGTTTCCTCGGAGACAGAATCGACTAAAGGCTTCATCGTCCGGACAAAAGGAAGCCAGAGCTTCACCATGTGAAGTCGTTTTACTGTAGGTAACACAACTATGCCATAGCCTATTGCCTCTAATACTTTTGCAGTCACCTCAAGAACCTTCAGCTTTGTCTTCAGAATTTGATTTTCTCCATCTTTTTGTTGAACGATGGTTACTAGCTTCATTGACAACTCCGTCCAGCTGCAAACAAAATCTCTGATAATCTCCAACTTTCCTAATATCTGACATGCCCATAACAAATCTGTCAAACAAGAATGCAACGATTGCATTTTCCCAGAATCTGAAATCGATTCTTGGAGGTCACATAGTAGAGATTCTACAATGCTGTTAAATCTATCAAGCAGCTTCTTGACACATCGCATGACTTCTAGCTTTATCTCTTCATCAGCGCTCAGTAAAGGAGCATCATCGTCCTCGGTAAGCATGTATTCAAGTTGTTCTTGAGCAGTGTTTTTCAGATCATTCAAAGGTGAAGGAGGTGATGACGTAGCAAATTGAAGGGCTGCAAGAAAAATCTTCATTACTGCAGTAGGATTGACTGGTTGGAGGCGAGCAAGTACTGGTTCCACCTTAGATCCCATGCTTGGTATAGTATTTAATATCTCCTCCTCTTCAGCTTCCTCCCAAGGGACTGCTTCCAAATAATCCACACATACTGCAATAATTCTTGGGCATCCAAGTTTGACAGCAACTCGCAAAATGCCAAGTGCATTCTTGACACCATGGCAAATTTCCATCATTAAGCCATCCGCAATGACATAAAAGAGTCGAAGGACATTGACATGGGAGTCCAGATCAGGTTCTTCACAGTAAACCTCAACACAATTGCGTGAATCCAGAATCTGACATGTCGGCCAACTATCTGATAACCGATCAGCAAAATATTTACTCTCTTCAACGAGAATATGTGAATGACAGTAAAGCCAATCATCACGGCCATCCTGTGTTCTAAGTCTTACGACAACATCACTGGTTGGTCTATCTCCAATCTTGCTTGATGTCTTCAATTCATTAGGCTGAAGGGGGGAAATGATATAGGTTAGTTAACGTGATAAATTATTGGCAATATTCAACAGTCAAATCAATAAGAGAAACGCAGGATGTAAGCTTCTATGATGCCTTTAAATGATTAATGTTCCTACTTCACTCCTTAATGATCCTTCTATCAGCACAGGAAAGTGAAGGCAACCCACCAGAGCAGTCAAATAAGTAGATGCAAGAATCAAATCCATGTACATGGCTCTTAAGGCAAGGGTAAGCCTAACTGCCCTAAGGCAGCCAGGCGGAGGAGGCCAAACGCCTCGCAGCCGTATACCTTCCAGCATGAGGAGTTAGACTCTTAGCCTGAATATGAGGTGTAAACCACCTATTTAGCTTTCCTTGCCCGTCAAAAAAAAGAGAGAACATTTAGGACAAGTATATTATTCAAAAGTTAAATTGAGTGGCATAACAAACAACTTTCCAACTTCCACGGATTCTTATCAACTTTTTACTCTTTCAATTTTTTTTGAACCATTAAAGCATTTCAAATTAAAAGATAAGAAAGTGTTCACACTCTAAAGGAAGACCCCTTGCTCTTATTGGTTGCCTGGCCAATGCTGGATTGTCTCGGCTTACGCCTTTTCCATTCATATCGCCAGAAATATCTTGAAATGTTTCAAATAAGAAGTTAGGTAAATTGTTTCATCAAGAGTTTCCTGTTTATTTCAAATTTCCAACGCTCCGGTAATATGACACAAGAACCATATATTCTTTTAGTTTTCTATACTATGTTAAGACACTTACGACTGTCTCCATTAATGCACAAGACTAATTGGTGTAGCTTCGATGCATTGTCAGATCTGCAAATAGAAAAGGATACATGACATCACAAAACAAGATAGCAAAACAGCTTAAATCAGATTCTGTATTCAATCAGAAACTGTGCATCCCTAGCAAGTCAAAAAAGTCCAACAGAAGTTTCTTTTGGATAATTAAATTCCAACAGAACTTCTTTTTTTCTGATTAGATATAGATCTGAAGAGAAATTTAAGCTCAATTTGGTTAACCCAAAAACACATAAAAGAATCAAAAGAAAAAGTTAATAGAGCAGTCATTGATAGTAACTTTTCTTAGCAGTGGTGTGCGAGTCAGCTTGTGCGCACAAACCCTAGATGTGATATGTTTACAACATGGACTACCAGGGTATCTAATCCTGTTTTTGCCCCATGCTTTTGCACCTCAGCGTCGGTAGGGAGTAGGGGCCCAGAGAGCTGCCTTTGCTTTTGGCATTCCTTTGTAGATCTCCAGAATTCACCCCCCTACACAAGAAATTCCACTCTCCTCTGTCTCACTCAAGTGAATTGGTGATATATATAATGTCTTGGCCTCGGGGATAGAAATCTATAATATGCAAACAGCATCAGCCATCAGGCATCAATATGTAAAACAAATATGGAAACACTAATTCAAGTCATACAAAAATGGCTGGTAAATCAAGTTAGTCTCCAAAATTGGCAGACATGGCATTAACACTTATTCATATTTACCAACTTTTAATTGAAATGTCATCAACTTCCGATTTTCCTAAAAGAGAGAACTTTTCAGGTAATTATAACATGAAAAACTCTAGTAACGCCAATTTCGAAAAAAGGAAAGAAAGAAAAACTCTATTAACTTTACTCTTCTCACCACAAACTCCATTCATTTTTGTATTATGAAAATATCATGACGAGACTAATGAACTCCACATGTTCAACTCTTCTTAACCTTATCTCTCAATACTGGAATAAAGTCAAATTAACGGTAGCGTGATCATAAGTATGTCATCTTACATAGCTTAAGGATGTTAGCTCATCCTCTTACTTTCTACCTCATCCTCTTTTGTCTTCAGACCTAGGATCAACTACTGAAATTTAAAATGTTATATTAATTTCTGGCCTTCTCCGAGGACTGAGGGCTTGCGAAAGATATATATATACAGTAGTCAAAGTGGAAAGTCATGTTATTTCAAGAGTTGGCACATAGAACTAGGTGACTTTTTCGAAGCATAATAGTGCTTTACTCATTAAGCTTACAAAAGGAATTACAGAGTCTATCAAGTTCTATAGTAGCTGTAGCCAATAGGCGTCTTTGACAAACAAGTTAGGACACATAAGCGTGTATAGATGATCAATAAAAGTCTAGTAAATTAAGTATATATGTTGAACAAGGGATTGGAAAGTGAAGAATACAATCCAGCTCCAATAACGCAATCATATACAACCTTTTGAAGGGCCACCTCTCCTGCAAGTTCCTAGATTTGCTTGGTCATAAAATGGATCTTCTGGTGTATATGCCCGACCGCTAAACTACAAGAAAGAACTAAATATGGCTTAGTTGAAAAGAAAGGCCAGTGAGATTCATAAAGTCAGAAAAACATATCATAACTCAAATTTGAAATCCGTGCACATAGCCACCACAACTAACGTAATTTCCAATTGGTGCATCATGACAATTATCACAGTTAGGAAACTTGATAGTTGCAAGTTTTAGTAATTTATATGCATCTTCACAGTTAACATGGATAGTAGCATCATTCATATGTAACATGAAGTGTTAGCAAATGAATCAAAATTACCCTACATTTGTCATTGGTACACATTACTTTTCAAGGCACCAATTTTCCGAGCACTATACGCTACCCTAGAACGATACTCAAGACAGAAGTTGCTATAACTAGTAAGAAGTATTAACATAAAGCAAAACAGCAACTCCATTATCACAATGTATTCAGTAATTCAGCTACTTAACAAAAAAAACAACTTGCATAACAATTAGCAACATTTCAAAGAACCTCAAGCATTTCCAAGACTCGACAAAATGTGTATAAAACAAAACAATGGGGTACCCTTCGGGATGGCTCAGATGGTTTGTCTTACGACTTCCATAATAGAGGTCTCAAGTTCAAAACCCTTTGCCCGCAACAACAGGGGTTTGGGCCTTGCCTAGTGCGTTTTACCTCTCTTGTATGGTATGCAATCTATCAGGATTTTAGCGGCTACTACGGGTTCCCTAATAATCAAAAAACAAAACAAGACAATATGCAAAGTTCTATTTTCTTACCCTTTATCCAAAATGACCCACATTCTCCTTCCACTCATGAACCCCATTTTCAAGATTATCAAAAAGCTCCCTTTGTCTACTTCCCTTCACTCAAGCAACACATACCAAAATCTCCCAATAGATACCTGCAAATGATAAATAAAAACAAAATCAAAACACCCATCAGCTAAAATCTATTGAATGTAACAGTTCAGTATCAAAAAGTACTAAACTTGAAAAAAAAAAAACCTAAAGTACTAATCTTTTTCTTAACCAGATAAAAACCCATATCAAGAATGTAACAACAAGATTCTTTAAAGGGTATTTCTTCAAATTCCATATACATAAATAATCTGAACAAATTAGCAGAAATTATTGATTCTTGTGCAAAGAACATACCTTTCTTATTCATTATCAAGTAGATTTAGAGTTGTTTACTCTTCAAATTGTTGAAGCAAAGAGTACAAATTTGGGGGATTTGGGCATTTAATTCTTGAAACTGTTTAAAGATTAGAAATTTGGGGAAAATTGAGTTCACTTTTCTTTTTTTGGAAGGATAAATTGAGGAATATAATTATTGAAAATGTTTTTAAAAGGCTAAACTATGATGATGGTTGATTTTTTAATTTTTTTTTTTGGAACAAGTTGGGATTTTTTTTTAATTTTAACTTTTTTTTCTATTCGGTGTCCGGTAACCACATTGGAGCCCACAACTTCATATGCAAGGGAATTTAAATGGGAAAATTTCATATATGGCAAACAGAATTTATGAAATAACATTCCATGGGTATAGTTTAGTCTGTTAGGTAGCTTTAAATTTGTATAAAACATTTTTTTTTTAATCTATACAAAATTTTATTTTTTCAGTTAATGGTAACAGTAGCACTAAATACGGTAACAATAAATTTACATAATCCCATGATTTAAGCTAAACGTTCAAAATCAAATATTTTTCCAAAAAAGAATTCTATAGCGATAGAAATACGGTACCAACTTGTTTTCGCGCATCACTGAAGCATCATATTAATCAATTTTTTGGTATATTCATCAACGACATGTAAAGTTTCATTGAAGGAAACTTCATGTTTTGAACCGCAATATAGTATACAATTGTTTAGTTTATCGAAAATACTGAAATTATGAAACAATTTTTTCTGGTGTGTCGATTGTGATGGTATAAAAAAGTAATTATCAATTTTTCCTTGTTTATACAAACTTAGATAAATCGTATGAAACACCCGGGCGTTAATGAATCTGATTATACATATGAATTGATTGTATTTATGTGAGAAATCGTTTATAATTTTTATGCAATATTTATGTGTACTTGATTGTGTGTTATCAATTGTATATATGACCATCGTAATATGGTAATTGTATATATGACAATCTGGCTTGTTTCGGAAAAAAAGGTTTGAAGTAGTTTTGTATACGGTATTTTGTATGTTCCAGTAGTTATATACAAATTACTGAAGTTATGTACATATTGAGATGTATATTAATGTAATATATACAAAGTCGTATGAGACAAGTATATACATTTATGAAATTGAGTAATTTTTTTAGTTTTGTATATGTAATATATTTGTATATGATCATATGTAAATAAGTGTAATTTTTTTTTTGTTATTAATGATTAAACTGATTGTATAAAATTCATATGTCCATTGTATATATGATATTCATGCATGATTTGACAAAAAGGTGTGTTGTAATTTATTAATTGTTGGTGTAATATCTTTGTATATATGTTTGCGTAAGGTTTGTATATTGTATCATGTGCATCCTTAATTCTGTATATGCATTATATATGTATATGAGCATATGTGAAGTGATTAAACTGTTTGTAAATTCTACAGAAAATGTCTTCATTGGCTATTTTGGTTATGCATTCTGGAAAATGGGACGATACAAATTGTTACGTTGATTATACTATAGAGGGTATAGTGTTTAAGGAACAAGCAACGTTTCTTGAGTTTTATACAACAATTACGACACATATTGGTGTTGATGTGAAATAAGAAGATGTTGAAGATTGAGTATAAGGTTGAAGAAAGCAATAAACCAATGGTTATACACAATGACATGGGTGTTAGGGTGTACGTAAGGCTTAAAAAGGATAACACTGATTTTAACAAATTTCCAATTTGTATAACTATTTTGGATTTCGGTAATAGACAGAATCATCTGTGTCAAAGTTCATCAGATGGAGAGATGGGGTGATGGCGACAATTGCAGAAAATGGTTCATAGAGTATGACTGTTGATGAATTGGAAGAAACAAATGTTGTATTTGTATCGATGGATACAATTGGGGTGATTTCAGATGCATCTAACAAACATGTTGAAGTCGATCAAGTATATAAGGACAAATCAATTATGAAAGCATTTATGGAGAAATATGCAATTGCAAAAAGGTTTCAATTCTCACATAAATCTAACTACCTATAATTTTTTTTGAAGATAAACAATATTTCAATGATGTGCTATATATAATTGCATACTTTTATACAAAACTAAAAATTTGTATAAATAAACTATATTTGTATTTGTAATTCTTTTGTATATATCTACAAACTATATTTGTGTATTAGTATGTGTATATGAATATGGTACTTAAATATGCAAATATACATCTGTCTCATACGACTTTGTATATATATATTACATTAGTATACAACTCAATATATACGTAACTTCAGTAATTTATATATACCTACTATAATATACAAATTACAATATACAATTATAATTTAGGCATAAACTATATACAATTGTCTTTTGTATATATTTACAAACTATATTTGTAAACTATATACAATTGTCTTTAATATACAAGTCACTATATACATATTACCTTAATATACAAGTCACTATATACGTAACTTAAATAATTTGTATATAACTAATAGAATATACAAATCTCAATATACAATTATAATTTAGGCATAAATTAAACCCTATACTTAAAGTACCTTTTCATCCCTTTCGTTTATATAACTAAGAAAATATACAAATAACTAAAACATGTGTGATTTAAACATGCAATATACTATATACAAATATTACTTAAACAAACAATTTTATGTATATTTGCACATAAGTAACGAAATATTCTATCTAAAATTGTGTTTTAAGCCACTACATGATAATCCTGATGTTATTCAGATTTGTCAATTTCAGATGAAGCAGATCCACTCTCCTCTGAATCACCGGTTATGGCTTTCCTCTTACTTCCTCCTTCAACAATTTTAATGTCGCTAGCTTTCGCATTGTTAATAACTTTCTGAATTGCTATTGGGTCATTTTTTTTCTTGGATCTCAATTCTTCAATAGATTGTTCATCTTGAACTTGTTTAGATTTTACCATACGCCCTACATTAACCCCAAAATTTTGAGTTAAACTCATTGAAAACGAGGGTGGATTATCAACAATATTGACATGCAATAGCATAATACATATACAATTGTTGAAGAAGAAAAAAAAATGGATTCATGGGTTGATTTTGGCGGTTACCTGCGAAAATTGAAAGCAAGACTGGAGGGAGAACGTGAAATTTTCCCAATTCAAAATTCAAAATAGGAGTGGAGGAGTGACTGTTGCATGTGTTGATGGGTTTGATGGCTTTAAAAGGGATAATTATTACTACGAAAGGATTTGTAATACTATTATTTACCTAGCTACTATTGAAATAGTTCTCCGGATTAGTACTTTAACAAATTAGTATTTTATCCTTTGATTGGAACATTAGCTTAAGGATTTTAGAGATAAGTGTTGTGGATAATTATGGCATAGGGGAGGACACAGTGAATAATAGTTAAGGATAGTATATATGAATGGAGATAGTAGATTAGGATGGGAAATTGGTATAATTCTTGAATCCTGCAAATTGTCTCATCGTTGGAAGTTATTTGGAGGCTAGTTGAGACAAATTAGTGGCTGGCATTAGAGAAGACAATGAATGATAATAAAATAAAATTATTGGATAGAAGTATTGGATGAGAGAATAAGGTATATTGTTGTATGTTTGTACCGTGAGTTTGTTCTGGAAATTTAAAGGTACGTATTGGGAGTTAATTGAATAAGTAATGGTGAGCCAATCATTGGTTGGAATAAAGGGTGTCAAAAAGAAGAAGAAAAAAATATATATGATGGTGAAATGTTAATTGACATCAAGAGTTACGAACTTGATTATAAAGTCTAGCAAATTTTTAGGTCAAGGCTAAACCTATAGTAATATAGGTGTTGTTAGTTTCGAAATCTTATTGTGAATATGTACTTGAATAGATTGCATTGATTTGGAAACTCAGCGAAAAGGGAAGGTTCAAGTCTCAGAGCAATTGTTCGGTTATTTGAGGCAAGTGGATTTCTAAACCCTTGTTAAGTGTATGGAATTCGTGTATTTCCTTGTGGCATATGTTTGGGTGTAATGGGAATTGGTGATGGGTTGACTTATCCATATTGAATAATTTTAATGATGTAAAAAGGGTAATAAAAAGGCTTATTATTTAATTGTTGATGTTGTGTCACGATTGTATTGTTGTGAATTGTGCATTGATATTAAAATGGTCATCTCCTCATTATTTGTGTGAAACTGTCATTTACATTGGTCCTGAGACATTGTTGTGATAAATGTTATGTGATAAGAGGATGTACCATTTCGAGGCACGTATCGCGCGCCGCAATGGTTACTATTATCGAGGGTCGTATCGCGCACCGTGATGGTTACTATTATCGAGGGTCGTATCGCGCGTCGCGATGGATGCATGGACAGATATGTCCCCCATAGGTCCCAGACTGAGAGACAACGGGTGTGTATCGATAGGTCAGACATGCATCACTATACTTGACATTGCATTTCATCGCATTGCACACTTTTATCATTAATGAGCTTGGTCTTGTGTGTTGCTGATCTATGAGTGTCTTTCTATGACAATTTTGATTGATGAATATTGAGAATATGTAATATGTGAGAGTGTTGTTGTTGAGCTGTGTACTTTGTAAACTGTGAACTGTTAGGTTGGGCTGGTTTTTATGCATGTTGTAGTTGTGGAGGTTCGGATGGGGTGTAAGGAGTACCCGTATTCTGTTCCCTTAGCTTGTGTTTAGAGGTTTGCTTGTTGAGTACCGTGTAGTTTGGTACTCACCCCTTGCTTCTACAATCTTTTGTAGGTTACGAGCCTGGATCTTCGTGATACCTTCCATTCTCTTCGTTTCCGAGGCTTTCTGTGGAGATTTGGGAGGTAGCTGTTTGTCATCTCAGCGAACCTTCTTACTCCTGTTTATGATTTTGTTTTTACTTGAAAGACAACGTCATTTGAGACTTGCGTATTTTATTTCAATTCTAGTATTTACATTAGAGGCTTGTGCACGTGACAACCATATTTTGGGGATTGAATTAAGTTGACTTGTTTTCGTAATAGTAATTGTTATTGGACTTTTGTTTTATTTCCGCACTTTATCGAAATGATAGGGTTTTTGGCTGACTTGTCTTGGTGGGATACGACGAGTGCCATCACATCCATTTTTGGGTCGTGACAACTTACCACTCCACTGCAACTCTCATTGGTTAAATGAATTCTTTAATATATCTTTCCTTTAGCACATATTACTAGTAAATAGAGTTATAACTCAATTGGAGAGATGTTCACACTTTCGTTCGGCTAGATATGGATCACGCGCTATAAGGAATTCAAAAAAAGTATATAATTTTCTCTGCTTGAGAATATATTGGAGATTTCTGTGATGTTCGGACTTTTTATGATTTTTCAATTACCTTAGGGATCATTTGGTGTGAAGGATTACACCAAATAGGCTTGGGATTAAATTATAGTGCCACTTAATTTGTTGTTTGGTTGGCAAGTCCGGAATAACTTATTCCGGGATTAATAACTAGTACCGGTTTAATCTATCTCTCTCCTTGGGTGGTATAGAAATCTCGGGATAAAATAAGTAAATGACAAAAATGTCTTTTTATACCTTTTTTATACATAATTTTTTTTACATTTATGAAGGACATTTTTGTAAGCAAATAAATTGTTCTTAAAATTTATTTATTTTAAATACGACAAATCAAATACTCAATAAAAAATAATCTTATCATAACTTAAATTCAAATCAAACGCCTCCTTAATGTATAGGTCATTAACAAACATATCAACCAAAGTGTTGTATCTTTTAAAAAGTTGTCAATGGGATTCGAACTAGTGCCCCAACCTTAAACACCGCTTAGTCCAACCCGCCCAATCAGTTTTAGTGTCGTTGCCAACGAGATTCGAAGTTAACGAGTGCACGTGCACCCTCACATGAAAATGTAGGTCCGCCTTTGTGTTCGGAGCTCACACAATCACACTAGAACTTCATTTAAATTCGAATCGCGCACTGCATGATCCATTTAGAGGTGACACTCCCAACATATTTTTCTCCATACTCAGACACGAACTCCAGACATCTAGTCAAGGATGAAGTAGTTCTAGTACCACTTCATCACAACACATGTTGATACCTAGTATGACGATCATGTGTTACATAAAACAAAGGTAATTAGTGTGGGATATTTTCTAATATATAGAGGTCTTAAATTGAACAGATACATTATTCATGAAAGAATATGACTTTATGAAAAATCATCTCTTAAGTTATATAAATATAAGAACTCTGTAGAATTAGCCTAAGAAAAATATGCAAGTATATACAAAGGCTTGGTTGTATCATGAAGGGAATTGCTTGTATTTTCCTCAATATGTATATGGACAATATCTCCTTAAGATAACTGATCCTTCACGTCTCAAAGTCATCTTCTTCTTCAATTTATATTTCCTATTATTTTTCTAACCATTCATATCATGATAACATCAAAGCCAACCATTTATAATTCTTGTGATGAATAGATAACATAAACATGATGACCAACTTATGACTAATTTAAATTTATATTTCAAATACTTATCAAACGATTAATACATCGATACTTATAAAGTAATTTGATCAATTTATAAACTTATTTCTATGAATCACAAACTGCAATTGTCTTTTTGTTTGTTGGACCATTGACTTGGCTTTTTGACTAAACTAAAGAAAAAAAATATTTAGAGAATAATTTAATTTTCTACATCATGCATTGTCTTTTTGTTTGTTCTAATATAGCTATTCCATATTACGTGTTGAATTTGTTTACCACATGACTTTAAAAAAATATTTTGTTCATAAACGAATATTCAATAAATAAAAATGGGAAAATGCATAAGTTCCCCCCAATCTATGCCCAAAATCCCTGAGACACACCTAACTTTTACTAAGGTCCTATTATCCCCCGAACTTATTTTATATATAATTTTCTATCCCTTTTTGGCCTACGTGGCACTATCTTGTGGGCCCAGCGTGTGTTGACAAAATTTTCAAGGATAGTGCCACGTAGGCCAAAAAGTGGTAGAAAATTATATATAAAATAAGTCGGGGGATAATAGGACCTTAGTAAAGGTTAGGTGTGTCTCAGGGATTTTGGGCATAGATTGGGGGGAACTTATGCATTTTCCCATTTTTATTTATTGAATATTCGTTTATGAACAAAATATTTTTTTAAAGTCATGTGGTAAACAAATTCAACACGTAATATGGAATAGCTATATTAGAACAAACAAAAAGACAATGCATGATGTAGAAAATTAAATTATTCTCTAAATATTTTTTTTCTTTAGTTTAGTCAAAAAGCCAAGTCAATGGTCCAACAAACAAAAAGACAATTGCAGTTTGTGATTCATAGAAATAAGTTTATAAATTGATCAAATTACTTTATAAGTATCGATGTATTAATCGTTTGATAAGTATTTGAAATATAAATTTAAATTAGTCATAAGTTGGTCATCATGTTTATGTTATCTATTCATCACAAGAATTATAAATGGTTGGCTTTGATGTTATCATGATATGAATGGTTAGAAAAATAATAGGAAATATAAATTGAAGAAGAAGATGACTTTGAGACGTGAAGGATCAGTTATCTTAAGGAGATATTGTCCATATACATATTGAGGAAAATACAAGCAATTCCCTTCATGATACAACCAAGCCTTTGTATATACTTGCATATTTTTCTTAGGCTAATTCTACAGAGTTCTTATATTTATATAACTTAAGAGATGATTTTTCATAAAGTCATATTCTTTCATGAATAATGTATCTGTTCAATTTAAGACCTCTATATATTAGAAAATATCCCACACTAATTACCTTTGTTTTATGTAACACATGATCGTCATACTAGGTATCAACATGTGTTGTGATGAAGTGGTACTAGAACTACTTCATCCTTGACTAGATGTCTGGAGTTCGTGTCTGAGTATGGAGAAAAATATGTTGGGAGTGTCACCTCTAAATGGACCCAATAAAAATAAATTTCTTAGAATAAATATAAAGTTTGAGGTAATAACAGGTAAAGTTATTGAGTTATATCTAACTTTGTATCACAAATGATAGTTATTTTGCCTTCGAAAAGATCTAAAGTGATTTTCTTATAAAATATATGCGAATACAACTCCATATATCTTTTGATTTTTAAAAAAGTAAGTGAATTGTATCTTTTTATGACACCAATAAGAAGTAGGAAGATATATAAGCAACCTCTTTTACGTTCATGTCATACGTTGAGGTACTGCAGAAGAAAAAATTAAAGCAAAGTCTGATTCAATTTATAGTAATTGATTAATTGCAATCACATCACCAATGTTAATAATCTTTAATTTATTAGAAATTTTATATGATATTTTAACCTTTTTGAGAACCTTTTGAATTTTTCTAGAATTTTCAAGATAATATTCTTTTGGTAGTTGATTAGTTGATTGAATAATTTTCATGCAAAACAAACCAAAAAGTAGCCAAAAACTTTGGAAGTCATCAAAAGTATTATAATTAGTTGTTTGGCTGAGTTTGTAGAGAAAGACTTCAAACTTAAATTATTAAGAGAGGGACAGCTAAAATAACGCGGTTAAGAAACAAATGTTACTCCTTCCGTTTAAAAAAAAATGACCTCCTTTCCTTTTTAGTCTGTGTAAAAAGAATGATCTCTTTCCTTTTTTGTAACATTTTAATTTTAGTTTTCCACGTGGCATGTTTAAAGCCACAAGATTGAAGGACAATTTAGTACATTTGACATAACTTTAATTTAGGACCACAAGATTCAAAAGTCTTGTTTATTTTTTAAAACTCTGTGCCAAGTCAAACCAGGTAACTCCTTTTGAAATGGAGGGAGTATTTGGATATTCTACCTCGATATACGCGATAAAAAATATTTACGCTCGCTATGAATTTGAGTTATATATATGCTGATAGTGTAATTAAACATTATATCCTCGTATAAGATTTCCCCTATTGTAGAGTGCTTTTGAAATACTATATTTCCCCTAAAATGTTGTAGAGTGTTTTTAAAATACTATACTATTGTGTTTTAAAGTTTGATTTCGCTATTTTGCTGTAGGGTAAAACGATAATCATAGTTTGTTGAACTTTTAACTTACATATATACACTTATATAGAGAAATATGACTATTTTTAAAAAAACGTCTTAATTATTTCATACAAACAATTTACACATATAGAAATAATCAAAGAGAATACAAGTAATTCCTTCGTAATCAATTACACACAAAAAAATAATATTTTAATCAAGATAGAATAGTCAAAGTTTCAACGTCCAAACAATTTTTGTACTAATACCAGTTTATATAATTTTTCATTATCATTATACTCCTGTCCAACAATAGTTATTCAATATTGACTTAACACACCTTAAGAAACAATAAATAATAGGGATAATTTTACTTTATTATCCTTTGAATATATTAAAATTAGTTATCCGACAATACTTTGGTGCAATATTCTTTTTTATAAATATCGAATTAAAAAATAATGATAATAAATTGCATATTAAATACCATAATATCAAGATCGCGATATCAAAAAATTTCAATTACATATGATATGGAATTCAATATCTACAATATAAAACTTAACTATTCCTAATAAAATCAGATTAATCAGATCTCAAAACAAGTACCAAACTTAACTACTCCTATAAAAATCAGATTAATCAGATCTCAAAACGAATTTCGAAACTTAAAAAAGAAACAACTAGCTAGTTGCTCTTTTCTTTGACCAAAGTCCACCACAATCAATCACATTGTGAGAAAGTATGACTAGTTACTTTGACCAATATTCCCAATCCTATTATAAAAATTTTCTCAAATTATATAAACCTTACACAATTTTTTCCACTCTATTAGTCTCCAGTCTTTTTCCTTCATTTACTTCAATACACTTGGCCACTTTCTCTTACCAAAATTTCTTTCTCCTTTCCACACTTCTCCATTTATTATAACAACAACACAACCAAAATTGAAAAACCAAAAAAAAAAAAAAAAAAAAACATTTTTAGTTCAATTTTTTCCCTCTTCTAATGGAAAATGTTGAAATTCCTGAGTATTTTATATGTCCAATTTCTCTACAAATCATGAAAGATCCCGTAACGATCGTTACCGGTATCACGTATGATCGCGATAGTATCGAACGTTGGCTTTCCAAAAACCCTAATAGTAACGCCATTTGTCCGGTAACGAAGCTACACGTGTCACGAGATTCAAACCTAACACCAAACCACACTCTCCGTCGTTTGATTCAATCGTGGTGTGTATCGAATGGATTCAACGTTGTTGATCAAGTCTTGACTCCGACTAAGCCTCCGTTAAGCAAATGCTACATCCTCAACCTCGTTCTTGATCTCTCCGTCCCCAGGACGGAGAATATCAAGACGTTAGAGAAGTTAGAGATGTTAGCTAAGGAGAATAATGAGAGAAACAAGACATACATGGTTGAAGTTGGAGTTCATGAAGCCCTAGTTAATTTCTTGATCCAATGTTACATGAAATGTGACACTAATGGCCTTGAAAATGCCCTAAGTACACTTTCATTAATTTGGGATTATTTTTCATCTTGTCATGAAAATAATAAAGTCGAAAATCGCGAAGAGATATTAATAGATTCAATAACATGGGCGTTAGGTCTTGATCGCGACATGCAAAACTATGCAATGATCAAGAACCACGCGATGAGCCTATTGAGATCTATCATTGGGAAGGCGAATTCAAGCACATTGGATAGACTAAAACCCCAATTATTCGAGAAAATAATTAAGGTTTTACGCGAGAGTGGTAGTAATACTATCACTATCGCGCAAAAAGGAGTTGACAATGCTTTACACATCATCCTAAACACTAGTCATTCGGGCAAGAACCGGAACATTATGATTCAATCAAGGGCAATTTTCGAGCTCATTGAGCTCGAACTCAATTTTTCATCAAATAAAAAAACTAAAGAGCTTATTTTTGAGATATTATTCAATTTATGTTCTTGTGCTGATGGTAGGGCACAACTTTTAAGTCATGCTGCTGGAATTGCTATGATTACAAAGAGGATTTTGAAGGTTTCTCCAATTGTAGATGAAAAAGCTATAATGATTCTTTGTTTGATTACAAAATATTCAGCAACAAGTGGAGTTCTTCAAGAAATGTTGAAAGTCAAAAGTGTATCAAAGATTTGTACTGTGATACAAGCTAATTGTGCTTCACATGTAAAGGATAAAGCAAGGGAACTATTAAGAAATCATTTTGATGTTTGGAAGAATTCACCTTGTGTTGAAGTTGCCACCTTAACAAGGTATGCTTAATGATAATCATTACAATACTTTTTTTTTTGTTTTAGATGTTTTGTATCTGATTTGTAACTCGACTAATAATCTGGTTCACACTGGAAAATCTCACTTTGGGTGACTTCTACAATTTTTTTCATCTGGTGTCTGGTATTCGGTTTGAGGCTTGATTAATCGGTCTCATATTGGAAAATTCCATTTCGGGTGATTGTTACATGATCCTTTTTTATTTTAGTTTTCCATTAGGTGTCGAGGCTCTAATTTGAGGACTATCTGATCGTGATTTGAGTGGGGAAATCTCTGGTGTTCAATATTTGTTTTGGAGTTCGACTATATTCAAATTTTACATAGGAAAATCTCACATTGAAAGGTAAAATGCTACCTAATAGAGACGACTTTATTTTCGAGGCTAAAATATGAGATTTATGATTAAGGGGGAAGGGTATTACTTATCATCCTACAACCTTTGATGGTGATCAAAAATTATAAATTTGTATTACTAAGGTAATAACCAAACAACTTTCTAAAGTTTTCTTGATATAATCTGTTAATGTTAGTGGTTGAAATAATTTGCAAGTTATAAATGAATCCAATTGTATAGATTGCTTATAGACCAAATTTCAAATCTTTTTTAGTAGATCTATTAGTTTAATCTCTTGTATTCAAACAATCTTGACTTTATTTGTTGCTCAATAAATTTGTAGGGCTCAAGGTAGATACACACTTTAGAATTTCTAACCAAAATAATGTTTATTATAACACTCTCCATTGTTCTAAATTGATTGTCATATTTTCTTTTTCAAAAAATCAATTCAACTTATTTTTTAAGTTAAACTCGATTAGATCAACTCAATATTTTATATTTAAAATTTTTATATTAAAAAATTATAGTATAAGTTATAGTGAAATTAAAGTTGCATGTCAGTCAAAATCTACCTAATTTAATTCTCTGAAACATGATCACTCTTAAATGTATAAGTTTTTCATTTAAAATATTTTGTTTATCATCTAATTTAGGTATCTTTAGTGACTATTTTATGTTTTTTTTCTTTTTTTTAAAATCCAAGTACAGAAAAAAAAAATAGTTTTTAAACTTTTGAAGACTTATTTGAAGGGGTGGGGTGCAGGATATATAGAATGGCTTTGTCAGAATAATTAAATATTTTATTTTCTTATAATAATTTAATAAAAGTATTTTATAAGTTCGATGAAGCTTGACTTTGTCTTCGTTTGATTTGTTGGTCTCGAGGTATATATATATATATAGATGATTGCTTGTATTTCTGATCTAATTTTCCTCCACAACTTGTGCAAGTGATATTGATGTATTCTTAATTAAATTATGATCATGTAGTCAATGTATTTTAATTTTGAAAAGGGGGACCAAAGAAAGAGTTTTCTTATACATTAGAGTTGTTTGGTGTACATAAGGTATTATAATTCTGAAAATAAAATGTAATGCAGATCCACAACTTAATTAATTAAGGTGCATGAGAATCAAGACTATCTCTACTCCTTTCAAGGTAATATGACAATGGGTGCCTATTGATTTTCACTATTGACACTTTTTTCAACGAGTTTAAATTTATCTTCGCAAATAAGAAATTATGCACCTATAAGTAAATCATTAAGCTTGCACCTACAGAGGCCGATCACACAAATTTCTTAATCGGTGCCTTTCAAGAGGAAATGATTGATCAATGCTCAAAACAAATAAGTTAACTGAATTTATATCGGTGTGTAACTCGTGAAAATATATATATTTGAAGATTCTCTGTCTAATCATGGGCCCAAGCCCATTTCAATAGCCCAAAATCTTTTATTTGAGTTTGGCCCAAAAATGAATAGTTTTGCATTTTAATTGGGCTTTGTGGTTCGATATTTTTGCGTTTACTCAATCTCAATTTTCATTATAGTTTTCTAGTTTACTGAAATTGTTATAATGAATTTGATCAACTAGGTACTAGTGAATTTGTCTGTGTTTACTATAATTATAAAAGACAATAAAATATTGATAATTTTATTAAATATATATAAGTAAAAGAGGTATTTACAATATATAATTGATTACATACAGACTTCCAACAAAGTCATAAATTATTATTTTAAAGCAAAAGAAATTATATGCTAACGACAATAAAAAATTATTCTTCAAATCGTTTATGAGTGACATTGTATATCGACGAAGAATAATATAATTTATTTAAACATTATATTCATTAAAATAATACGATAATACAATATACATTATTTAATAATACCTAACAATCATTCAAAGAGAGTGTTAAGGTCAAATGTGGTAATTAAGCAATTAGGTTTAGTGGAAACATAACCAATATATTTGCCGTTTAATTAACTTCATGCACATGAGTTTAATATTAGTTTGAACTTCTCCAAAGATTATAATATGCTTCCATATAGTTACTCCATATGAAATTTATATAATATCATTGATGTTATATATTCTAATTAGTTATAATTTTTTAGTTCATAAAAGGAAAATAGACAAAAATAAAAATTGTGGGAGTAATAAAAATAAAGACAATTAAGGTTTATATTAAAGAAGATTAAAGAAATGACTTTTTAGTTGTAACATCTTGCCAAATTGAAATAACCATTTTTGGAAAGAATATAAAAATCTGGAAATTTGTTTAAGTTAAGGATGAGTTTTAGTCAACTTCAAACGACCATAACTCCTAGCTCAGGAGGAGTTAGGTGTGTTTCCAGATATCGTAGGAAATATCTTGGAATAATCTTTCCAATGCCGCCGAGTTTTCGCGATTCCGAGTTCGTATGAGTGAGACATTCCCTTTGAAAGTTGGGCTGTTTAGATAAGGAAAGTCTAATCCGAATTTTTAAAGGGTGTTTTGGTCTTTTCCATACCCTATTAATTTATTTCGTTTTTGGTAATTAAGTTAGGGTCTAATAAGAATTAGACCAGTTTAGAAAAGTTGAAGTTCACGCTAGGGCTTGGAGAAAGAGAAAAGAGGAGAAAGGAGAAGAAAAGTTCAAAGTTCGTCGATTTCTTGGAGAATTTCGTGTGGATTTCGCCAAGGATTTAAATCCTACAAGGTATGTGAGACTTTCATAACATTGGGTTCGTTCACCACGTTCCAAACATGTTTATTTCAGCGTGAATTCGTCCTAAAAGAGTTTGAAAGTTGATGTTCTTGATATGTATTCTTGAATTTGATATTGTTCTTGAGTTGGGCTGAAATTGAGAAGTTTCTGAGATCATTACGTCAAATTATTGAGTTGGTTGAAGTTAGTTCCTTAGGTACATTTGATGGGTATCTGTATCTAAAAAAGAATTTGGAAAAAGAAATCGAGTTTGGGTGAATTGAGGCTGGAAAACGAAGAAGAAATTTAATCGGGCAAATCTGGGCACTGGCTCCGCGTTGCGGACATGCTCCCCAGATTTGGGAAAAATGCTTTTGCAGAGCGGAGCGGTCACGGACCGTTTTGCCTCAAAAAGTATTTTCGCGACCAAAATTTAAATACCTCTTCGCGTTGTGGACCTACCTCAGATAGTGAAACTTTGATCTTTTCTCATGTTTAGCTATCTAAAAACACTCCTAAACATCATGAGATATTTCCTATCACAAATCACGATCCTTGAATCCATAATTCAATTCAAGGAAAGTTAGGAGTCAAGTTTAGAAGTTACGAAGCAAGTCAAGAGAAGTTCATTAAAGTTTTTCAAAAGTCTTTCACAAACGACTTTTAACTTTGTTTCTAAGACTTAAGTTCTAAGTTAAGCAAAGAGTAAAGAGTTGAGTTCATTTCTCCAAAAGTTATAAGGGAACTAAGTATTCCCAAAAGTTTAAAATGTTTTCACATTTGAACAAGAAAGGGAACATCGATTCCAAGAGACCTTTTAAGCTAAGTTTTGAGTAATTATCTCAAAACCAAAAGAAAGAAATTTGTTTTAAAAACATATGAGCTAAGAATATTTTGGGAGTAGTATTGAGCACCGATATGGGGATGCGAGTTCATATTAACTCAAGTCTCCATAAACCATGTAGCCATCATAGATAGTAAATGATCATACTTTTTAGATGACTCCTTAATATGCTTTTAGCATAGACTAGTGGATCTACTTAGTTAAGCGTTCTATATGACGGCTAAGTATAAGACAGTTCTGGCAGTGTGGGCAAGACGTTGTGTCACCACTTAGGCTCATAGTGGTGGTTGTCGGTTAGAGAATCTCCATACAAACTATACTACTTTATTATATGAGTAAAGTTGAGTTTGTTATTGCAATTTCTTTAACGAATTAAGTTGTTTTCTACTGTTTTAAAGGCTTTCCATATTGCATGTGTTTTATTGCTTTATATTGAGTTAAGTTATTCAGGAGTTGAGTAAAGCCAAGGTAAGTGTTCCTTTCA